GTAAGTACGTTTTCATTTAAAGGATTTGCCACTGATGATTCAAACGCGAGTTTTGGGCAGTGTAGAGTAGCACTTGTTGTTTGTCATTTCTCCGATCACAAATGCAGACAGGGTTTTATGTTTACGCGGCGCGATGCAACGTGTAAAAAGACAGTATAAGTCATTATAATCAGTAATTATGTCCCCACTGGATGCAACAAATGCCTCGTTTGTAATGGGTTTTCATGTTTTTTGTTTTGTCGCTCCGGCCGGGACACGACATCAACAGTATGGTGAGGGGCGTAACATTTCCGTCACACGCTTGAGGTATTCGGCCAATCACAATGCACTGGATAGCTGGCCAATCACAGCACACCTCGCTTTTTCAGACCGATAAGATTTGTAAAAATCGACGCGTTTCAAAAAGGCGGGGCATAGAGGAGAAACAATAATGTACAGTATGTGGAAAATAATGTTTTTTTTTACTTTAAACTGCATAAACACATTTCATTACACCAAATACACAAAATAATGTTCTTTTTAGCAGCATCATATGACCCCTTTAAAGGGTTAAAGTCATTGAAGTCTCAATGGCTAATATACTTTTATCAGCTATAAATTGTAACAATTTAAAATAATTATTAAAATGTAATATCCAGTAATTATAAGCGAATCGAAAAGTCATGAAATATCATTGGTTGAAAGCTGTGGGAACCCTGTATCATCTTTTTCTTTTATGTTTATTTTTGGCATGCTGTAATTTAAGAAAATCTTCTCAAATGCCACATAACCTCTAGCGTCATTGCATAAATGATGTTATGGTGCATTCAGATCTTTCTTGTTTACTCAGTGGAATCTGATGAGATATTTCTGGATAACTTCAGTCAAATGTGTTCTTGTACCTTTAGCCTAATAGCTGTGGCACTGAAAAACATTCTGTTTCTTTTTGTAGGAGAACATTCTGTGGGTTTAAATCACAACAGCTTCAACCATGTCTGGTGCCTCCGTGAAAGTGGCTGTCAGAGTGCGGCCCTTCAACTCAAGAGAGACCAGCAAAGAATCAAAATGCATAATACAGATGCAAGGGAACTCCACTAGTAAGTATATACTTGTCTCCATGACTCTTATACTTTGTTTGATTTGCAAGCTTCTTATATTTGGTCACGTGTCTCCAGACAAGGTGGCTCTAGTTTATGCTTTTGGCTTTAGGATATGAGATGCTCAGAGGGAAATAGTGTTGTAAATTTATTGGATATCTGCACCATGAGTGACCGAAAGGAAGAATTGAAGTGGAATTGATATTCTGTTTGAAACTAAAAGGAAAGAAGAGCCTCTCTGTGTGAAATCCCCTTCTTTTAGAAACATGAGAGAGAATTTCTGCCTGAGGGACAGGCAGAAATTCTCTTCACACAACTTTAGTGTGTTGAGCTGCAGAGTATGAAGATACTGTGTGTCTTCAGCTCAGGTCTCTTGTTCTTCAGTTCTGCATTAGTTTAGTGGTAGAGGAAGGGAGAGCCAGTGAAAGGAATTTCACTGAGTTGATGTTATCGCCCGTATTTTGGGTGTTATCATTATTGCAGCCTAATGAAGAAGAACATGTGACCACACATCAAAAAATCATGAAACCTTTGAATCAAATAGTTGAAGTTCTGTCCTAAGAGTTTTAGGCTACATATCATTATGATGATAACATTTGACACTTTTGTTGGAAATAAATGCATAAATGAATCGGTTCCCTGAGTGTAGGCCTAACTCTGCATAGTGTATCAGATGTTTTTTGGACAGCATATGGGTTGTTAATGTCCATTTGCCAGCGGTGAGTCATCGTGATTCATTGCGCTTTTCTAAATAAGGTAACTTTAGCTGGCTGAGCATAGAAATGGTGGTGTGCTAATTTTTAAGATGCATTAGGAAAGAATCTGGACCTATGTATCCTTTTAAGTTGGAATGACAGCATGTTAATGATAAACTTCATGTCTAGGGGTTTTAAATCTAAGGAAAGATGTAAATTAATTAAATGTAAGAGTTGGAGCTTATGTTTGGTTTTAATGAAATTTGGTTTTAATTAAAGCTGGGTATCAATGCACATTTCCTGATTCGTTTCATTTCACAAGCTTTTATTTTTGTTCTGATTTTGATGAGATACTTCTAACATACTCTGCTGTTTGGAATTTGGAAAGATTTTTTAAAATGTCTTTGTAAGGAGTGTTTTATGCTCAACAAGGCTGCATTTGATCAAAAATGCAGTAAAAACTAGGGATGCACGATATTGGATTTTTGCCGATATCCGATATGCCGATGTTTTTGAACTCATTTTGGCCGATAGCCGATGTCGATACTAGTAGGGCTGGGTATCGTTCAAAATTTTTCGATATCGATACCGATACCTTGACTTCAATACCGGTTCCCGAACGATACTTTTTTCGATACCAATTTTATGAAATCAATTTTAACAAGATTACATTATCTAAAAAAAAACCTTTGGTTTTATTTTTCAGCTTGTTGATGTTTATACAAACTCAAAGACTCATCTCCTGAGCCACTGCACAAAGGAACAAAATGTAACCAACACAATAAATCAGTGCAAAATAGTTTTAATAAAGCTCAAATAGTCTTCAGTTTACACATCTGTTAGGCTACATTTACACTAGTTAGTGTTCGTTTTAAAACGCATAGCTCAGACAGAATCATGATTTCTATTTATTTTCCACTGATTTACTGATGAGCATTAGCAGCTTCCAGCGCTGTCTGCTCCAGGTCGCCAGTAGCAAACAATGGAGCGCGCTCTGCTGGACAAACTAAGTACTTACACCATTTCAAGCATTTTATCTGCATTATATGTTCTGTAAAAAAAAATGTTCATATCGGCAGCATATCGGCGGCATATTCGCCGATACAAATATATCGGCGACAGGCTCATATCGGCCGATAATATCGGCAAAACGATATATTGGTCAGGCTCTAGTCGATACCAATATATTTCCTTTTGTTTGGAAACAACACCAAGTCTGTCCTGTGCAGAAATTATAAACACATGATTTTTAATTTTGGTTAGTCTTTAACAAAAACTTATTTGTTAGAATTAAATAAACTTATGTAATAATGAAGTTCTTTAATAATGTCAGTACATTGATAGCCTTGAAAATAATTATAAATCAACTAGGCCTATGTACATCAAGCACTGCATTTTTTATTTTATTTTTTTCAGAAAGATGCAGTGGTAACCTAAGATTTAACAGTTGTAGATGGTCTAGCAAAGAGCAAAAGAGTTGTAAAAATTCAGAAAATCTTTTAGAGCTCATAATTCATAAAAAAAACATTACACATTAATGAATAAATCTGCATATATACAATTATTTAATTTACAAGTGTCATGTTTGTGATTTTTTTTTTATTTGATGCATGTGCACTGTAAGCTATAGCTTCTGACCTTTAAATCAAAACACACTCATGATTTTATGTCATTGATACTGCTTTATTCAGAAACACAAGTTTCTTAGCAATATGTGTATTTTACTTTCATTTTGTTACAAGTAGGCCAACAGCACCCCCCTATGTAAATACAGCGCCTTACCAGACGGGCATTAGGACCCGGGGGAGACCGCACTGCTGACGTGATCTAATCGCTAGCATACCCTGAGCACGTGTGAGTTAATCCTCTTATCGGCAAGACATATCGGCATAATTTTTCACATCGGGCCGATGCCGATATAACAGCACCCCCCTATGTAAATACAACGCCTTACCAGACGGGCATTAGGACCTGGGGGAGACTGCAATGCTGACGTGATCTAATCGCTAGCATACCCTGATTACGTGTGAGTTAATCCTCTTATCGGCAAGACATATCGGCATAATTTTTCACATCGGGCCGATGCCGATATTTGCATTTTAAGCCATTATCGGCCGATTCCGATATTTTAAACAATATATTAGTATTCTTCTTTGTAGTTTTCATAGTATTCTTAAGTAGTCTTAAAGGGGTCATATGATGTTGCTAAAAATAACATTATTTTGTGTATTTGGTGTAATGAAATGTGTTTATGCGGTTTAAGGTTAAAAAAACACATTAATTTCCACATACTGTACATTATTGTTTCTCCTCTATGCCCCGCCTTTCTGAAACACGTCAATTTTTACAAATCTCATCGGTCTGAAAAGCAAGGTGTGGGGAGTCTATGGGATTGACTCCCTTTTGCAGCCAGCCTCTAGCGGCCAGTTGACGAATTACAGTTTAAGTCACTTCCTTGTTGGCTTCACGAGAGAGAGCGGGAGGTTGCCGCTTGAGTAAAATGTAACTTCACAGTATGGAAGTGTGACTTTTAATGTATTCTATTGTATGTAATTGATATATGAAGAGACTGAATGTATAGGTAGCCATTTCTCATTATTACTTTATGTGCTGCAAAATGTCTGTTTCTAGAGGAATATGTGGGTGTTTGTTTGAGTGTTGAGTTTAAATATGGTGTTTTGAAGTTGAATACTGTCATTCATTTTTGTTTTTTTTGAAGAGAAGAGATATTAAGCATTAGGTCGTATGGAGATTAAACCTGTAAAACCCTTTCTCTCTCAGATCTCTCCTGAGATATTTCACAGAGTCTTCGCTTCTTGCCTCATCCACAATGCACTGAATCTACTGATATTGTGACCTTTTCTTTTATGAAGGAAAACTGTTGAGGGAATGGAAACTCATCTCTCTTTCCATCTTCAGTAATGGTGTCGTGAACAAATATCAGCAAGGATTATTGAGTGGGGAGAATTTGAAACCTCTCTGATAGTAGATTCTGATCTGATAGTAGACAGATTCATTAAAGGGGTCATATGATGCGATTTCAAGTTTTCCTTTCTCTTTGGAGTGTTACAAGCTGTTCGTGAATAGATAAGATCCCTGAAGTTGCAAAGACTAAAGTCTCAAAACCAAAGAGATATTCTTTATCAAAGTTAAGACTCTGCCACACCCCCCTAAAACGACTCATTCTAACACGCCCCCACATATCTAGGTCACTATGTGGGAATATTTGCATAATGCGCCCAAATGTTCATGCAAAGAAAGAAGGCGTGGTTTCAGTAACCGCAGTTAGTGTTGAAGCAGCCATGTCAGGGAGACGCTGTGTGTTTCTAGGTGAAAGCAAAAGTTTAAAAAAGCATCATATGACCCCTTTAAAGGGATAAGATACAAAAAAATGAAAATTCTGTAATTTACTCGCCCTCATGTAGTTATTTTTTCTGTCGAACACTTAAGAAATTTGAAGAAATGTCTCAGTGTCTTTTTTTATTGGGCTTTAATATTGTTTGGTTCCCACCATACTTCAAAATATTTTCTTTCCTGTTCCACAGAAGAAATTCATACCGGTGTGGAACAATATGAGGCTGAGTAAATGATGGCAGATTTTTCATTTTTAGATGGAGGATGCCTTTAATTTTAACAAAAGCAGTTTTAAAGGTGTTATGAACTGAGAAAACAAAATCCCCCTGATCTGTTGACATATAAGAGGCTATTGTACAGTACTATTAAAACATCCTGTAAGTTTCAGAACGCAAAACTTTCTTGTTAGTCTAAAAACAGCATATATTGAAGCCAGTCTGCCAAAACAACAGCTTGTGGAATGTACAACTCTATAATGTAATAGTGTGGATAAGCACCGCCTCCGCAGAAGAAGATCGACGCCTGTTTCTACATTGCTGCCTGTTTAGCTTCGCCCACCGATTCATGCATGAAGTGTAAATAGCGAGAAGGGCTAACGCAGGTCTACGCAGAAACCAATCGATAAAGATGGCTCCGAAGACAACAAGATGCTGTGTAGTGCCAAGTTGTGGAAAAACAGTTTTTGAATTGCCTTCCTTCTGATCCTAACATTAGGAAAGAGTGGATTAACTTTATTTTTAATGAAGTTCCAGTCCGCGTCAGTAAGGGATGGGCGATATGGGCTTAAAAATATATCACGATATTTCTGGTATTTATTACGTTAACGATATCAATGGCGATAATTCAGAGAATCCTGTTTCTTTAGAGAAAAGTATTATCTTTCCTATTTTTACCCAAAATAGGGTGTTGTGATCATTAATGAGTACACACGTAATGTAAAGACTGTTTAAT